CTTCACTTTTGTGCTTGTTGAGGGCAGCTGCCTGTGTTTGAATTATATTAAAATTTCAAATCATTCAGAGCTTTCTCAGTACAGCTTGAGACCAGTTGTTAAATGCAGAATCTATTAAAAGGTAGCTAGATTCTTGTTTTAGTACTCTTAACCGTAAATATTTGCTTTGTAGGTAGTTTGTGGGGGAAGAAAATGCATGTATGTTGCAAAGAATATGATTGTGTGTACAAACAAATTTTGTTCTGCTGATTCAAATTGAAATAAAAAGTTCTGAAAATATTTGCTTTTGAAATGTTCAATTTAGCTATCTAGGTTGATATTTTTCAATGTGTCACTTGAAGTCCCTACCATTTTTCAGCGAAGATAGTGACCTTTTTATAGTGAATTTGATTGTCTTATTCTCCTTATTTTTGTGGATCTTAGTCCCCAAACTACAAGGTAAAAATCCCTCTTCAGTTAGGAATGGGTAAAGACTAAGAATTTCTGTGAACTCAGTTTTATTGCACTCATTTTACAATAATTGGCTAACTTTTAGTATAGCTCCCCTTGCCCTGCTGTGAACTTGCACAGTACCCATTTATCTCACTTGCAGGTGATGCTTTGATGTCATGTGACAAGTGGAACTTTGAAAAATTCAGTTAAGACTTACATGAGATCTTTGGTTTGATAGGACTGCATCCACCTTGCCTTCTCATTTTCCCCACTCTTTAATTATACTGTTATGTAGTAATCTGAGATAGCAGGAACAGTTTGATCTGTCACAATCCTAGATCATGCAATTCAGAATTATACTGCTGTTGTAAGTGCAGCATGAGATGAAAATATGCTGTGAATTACAAGTTCTTCTGTTGTACATCTGCGCCAGAATAACCTGCATAAGGTATGCCTCTGTTGCAGTGGAGAATATTTTAAGTGTCTCCAAGTTCAAGACTGATCATCTGTTTAGTGTCCCCTCTGGTATCCCAGTCACTGAGCTGGCCATACTAAGCTAGACTGAAGGGTTCAGTCTAGCCCAGTGTCCTCTACAGTGCATAGCAATGTCTGACTTTGGAAGAATGTAAGAGAGCAAATGTTTTGTAGTGAATGTTGCAGGGACTTTCTGAGATAGTGGATATTTCTTATGTTGAATTTTGTTATGAAAGTCTCCCTCCCCCCCTTATTTTCTACAAACCTACGTAGAATTTTGGTATATATTTATAAAGACCCTTTTATACATATATGGTGATATCTCTTATTTCTAGTGGGCAGATGACAAAGCAGTTAAAAGTCCAAGCAAATACCTTAGAAATGACTTGAGTAGTAGGCTCAATTTTTAATTACATTTTAAGGTAGAATCCTACTAAAATTGTAAGATGATATCTTGAACTCTGAGATTGAAAAAAAAAAAAAAAAATAGGAGTCGCCCTTCATCCTGAAAGACTATGTATAGATTGGGATACAGAATACTCATTTAATGTTGAGGACTGGAAAGAGGCCTAACTTTTTTTGATGCACTGACTGTCTGGTCAGCTGATGATCTGCTTGACCATGCTGATTCTCCCAAGTTAGGTTTTTTGCAGCTTAATCATCCATCTGAGAGTATCAGGAGTGTGGGGAGGAAGACAAGTTTTAATCCTGGCACCACTGTACTTCAGGAAAAGTAAATAGGGAATGTAGATACAGGAATAGTTTTGGAAATCTAGATTTAGTTAGCACCTTCAGAAGCTGTATTTATGCAAGTGTGTGCTGTACATAAAATTACACATAACAAATGTCTGCTAATTTGTCAGCTTATCACATGCATGCAATTCTAAGCAAAAAGATAATTTCATAACACCTTTGTCATGAAAAGATATTAAACATTATTTGAAGTTTTGATGTAGAAGTGTGAATTGAATTTCTAGCTAAAGGTGTGAATAGAAAGTTGTCTTAAAATTTTCCTAGTGGAGTGCATTCTGCTTGCTTCGCTGTAACCATTATTCTTAGGACTTTATTGAGTTCCACAGGTTATACTGAACATAAATGCACACTTTTCCTTTGTTGTTTCAATACTAAACTTTGATATTTTTTTCACTTGCCTATGTACTTATAGCAGTAGTCTAGGTATCTAGGAAATTCAAAGCAGTTCAGTTTAAGTTCATTGGAGGTCTAGATCTGGATAAATGTACAGGACATTGTAACTTGGGTTACTGTGTAGCTGCTTTTTGAGATAATGCTTTATAAAAACCATTTTTTTTAATGGTGCTTAGGGCATAATACATTGACACTATTTTGTTGTGTACTGTTCATTTCAAAGGTCTACTTAGAGCAGTACTGAAGATGTAGGAAAGAAATACTCAGTTCTTGGTTTTGTTAGGAACTTTCCAAAAGTGGCAGTGGATTGCAAGATTGCTTCTAAGTTAGAAATAAACTGGCATGCAGCTACTGCGAACCTAGAATTATCTCAGATCTTCTCTCTGAGTCAGTATTATAATTTTAGAATCTATCACTCTTGTGGTTTCAACCAGTGATGATGTAATCTGGTACTCACACTCATTACTAGATAGTTAAGTTACAGAAATATTTTCTTCCAAGTATTATTCACACAACTTAATTCATTCAGAGTTTCCTGACGTGTTCAAACTTCAGCAGTTAGGGAACTGCAGCAGCCATAGAAGCAGACTTCTTGTCTGTGGATGGTTTAGAAAAAGCGGGGGGAGGTTAGAGGAAGAATATGATAAAATGAATTTTGCAGGAGCAGATATAGCTGTGTGGATGCTGATGTCCGAGTGTTTCATTTAGTAGTCCACTTGTGTGGTGGAAGTGTAGTAACAAGTTTTCCCTGCTTATGGGTTTCTCGTAGTAACATAGATCTGTTTTGTATATAGTAACAATGTTTAGCAGCTTGAATTCTAATTTAATTCTCAGGTCTGGTAATGTGTCATAGGGTGATAAATTTAGATTGTATTTCTAAGCTATCCATCTGTCTTGCCCTTTTGTAAGAGGCTACTGGGTCCATAGCAGAAATCACTGGGCAGGTGAGGAATAGGCATCTTTCATTTTGTGCCCTCTGCTACAAAACGCTAACATCTCGCCAAAGACAGGACAGTTGTGAGGAGAGGACTTTACCGCAAGTGTAGGAGTCAGTGTATTTTTATTTTATATTTCAGATGTGCTTCTGTGTTTAATCTAGTGCAAGTCTCCTGCTGTGCAGTCTGAAAAGTTGAATTGTCTATTGAAAGTTTTATATGAATTATGTTTTTCTCTTGTCCATACTTGAAGTCTTTGCTGACAACGTATAGGATTGTTCTGTTTGTTTGTAGGTTCTGTTCTTTGTCAGTCTGAGCCTGTGGTTCAAAGCCAGCTCTTCATCTAGGTCCTCTCTTAACTACTTTTCTGCCTCAAATTTAGCCTGCAGTTATTCCTCTTGTTAATGTTGTCAGGAATATCTTTATGCTATTAGGTATTATTCTACTTAAGCTGGTTTCCCCAAAGAGGAATACTCTGAACTCTAAGCAATTTGGAATGCTTTTTATCGTGGTGTACGAGTAGATTCTTCAGTAAGCAATTAGCAACTGCTTGGCAAGTTAGGAGTGTGATTATTTAGATCCCACTACTTACAAAAACCATCTTCTCTGCTTGAGTTCATGAAATCATTCTTTCTGAAACTTGTCATTCTGGAATGCTTGCTGTGTAGGAAGCTGTCAATGCCAAATTTATTGGCAGGAGTGAAGCTGAAATCAAGCATCAGAGGCCATCAATAGCATCCTTTACTAGGTGATGGAGGAATATACAGTCAAGTCTGTCTAAATTTGGATAGGAAAGTGCAGCTTTCTCTGTTTTGTGTGCAACTGTCATACGAAACATTTAATACTGCTTGCTTTTGTTTAAAACTTTCTGTAAGCGGGTTTGTTTTGCTCTAGGTGAGGACAGCTTAATCACAGTGAGATAAAGGGGGGAATTTTGCATCAGTGCAGCTCTGTATCTGTCAGAAAACCTGAATCCTTCATTTAGGAAAGCAAAATAGTGAATCTCCTTTCAGTATGGGATAGCGAGTAAGGTGTCACTTATGTACTTGATGAAGATTATTAGCCAAGAGGCAGGCCAAAAACACTGTACTTCAATTTTCCAGTAGATAAAATGGAGAATGCGTGTTCCAGGAGATCATTGCAGGTGTTGGGTGCTATGTAATAAGTAACTTTTTGTTTATGTGGTTTGTGAATAAATGTGGTGTTACTAAGAGACCTTTTTATGAGAATTACAGGTATTTAGTACACTTGAATACTAACACCATGGAGTAACATGCGTATTCTGCTCAAGAGAAACTGAGCAGAAAGAGTATGGGGGAGAAAGTTGAAATTATGATAACGTGGCCAGGCCTGTACTTATCTGCTCAGTTACAGTAAAATGTTGTGAAAGAACTCTACACAAGGCAATGGAAGTGAAATACAGTAATAATATTTCTTTGTTCAGTTATCTCAAAAATTGCTATTGAATTCATAGTGTTACAAAAGGGAAAATTACTTATTTCAAATGGCTTGAATTAAAATATTAACCAAAAGGAAACTAAAGATTAGTTTTATTCATGAAATGTTAGCGGACTGATGCTTTTGTCTCATATTTGTTCTTAAGTACATAAAATATTTATAATACAAATTAACACTCATGACTGACACGTAAGTATTTACAGATTGAGTGACTTTGGTAATGGTGTTTCTGAAAGCGTAAAATTGTTTAAGAGGCTTTCAGTCATCTTTTAGTTGGTAGGTACTGCAGGTGTTCATGTTGTCGTGGTGCCTTTTGATTCTTGGAAGATATGCATAGGTCTTGCCTACTCCAAGAAAACTTTCATTCCTGAATTTGTTCTGTTTTAATGCATAGCGTTTATCAACAACTTGTAGAGGTCAGTGTGTGTTCTCTTTCATTTGTGTAAAATACATTTTATTTTTTGTTTAGATTATATCCTGGTACTGAACTTCTGTGGCAGCTCAGAGTCTGAGAACCAATGCTACTCTACAGAAAGAAACCTGTAAATAAAACTTCTTTTTGATAAACATGGAGGCTAGCTAAAGATGGTGTTAAGCCAGTCTTGGAGTGATATTGGCAATCCTACTCTTTATTCCATAGGTACATGCTTCTGCAGCACACTTTGTTGTTTGGTGCCAACACTTATTCTACAGTGTGTGGGAGGAAAGAAAATCTAGCCGCATCAGTTACAGTGTTGGGGAGGAGGTGGGACAACTTCTGACAGCCAAACAGTCCTGAGTTGGCTTGAGACTGTCATGAAACTACGTATTTGGTTTAATCTGCCAGGAGGAACATTCTGAAGGCATCACTACGTAGCAGACTAAAAATTATAACTTGGAAGAAACCTCTGGATGTCACCTGTTGGCAAGCGTCACCTTGAAGCCCTGGCTCAAAGCAAGGCTAGCCTCAACATTAGTTGAGGCTGTTCAGGGCCTTGTCCAGTTTTGCTGTAAAGATCTTTTAAGGCTGAGATTCTGTACTCCCTCTGAGCAGTCTGTTCCACTGCTTAACCACTATCCTTGAGACAGTGTTTTGTTGTGTGGTGTTTTTTTTCTCTTTCACTTGTATATCTGGAACTTCCCCTGCTTCAGCTTCTTATTTTCCCATGTCTCTTTGAGCACCTCTGGAAAGTTTGGTTCTATCTTAAGCTATTTAAATGGATTTTATGGAGAAGACAGCAATTAGAGCCTGCCTGTCATCCTTCTAGGACGAAAAAGGGCAGTTCCCTGTAGCTTCTCCTTGTATGCTATGTGCTCTACCCTCTTAAGTATCTAAGGGGAAAGGAATGGGCACAGTACTCAAGAATTATACTCATGAACACTGAGTGGTGGGAATAATGGTTTCCCTTGAGTTGCTGTCTGCACTTTTGCCAATGCAGCCCTGTATGTGGTTGTCTTCTTACTTTTGCAGGTTATCTCATTTTCTCAAAGGCCATTCCTTAACCCTTTAGTCCAAAGTGTGTATGTTGTACAGTTACTCCGTGCAGGAGCAGGACTCTGCATTTGTCTGTTCAGTGTCATGAGGTTCCCATCAGCACATTCCTCTAGCTTGTCGATGTCCCTCTGACAGAGCACCTCTGCTCTACAACACTTTGACCACTTCCTGGACTTCCAGATTGTTATCTGCATCTACTTGATGTGGGTGCATTCCATCCTGTTATTCAGGTCACTGATGAAGATGCTAAACAGTATTAGCCAAGTACCAGCCTCTAAAGATTGCCTCTTCTGTCTGGCTTCCAGTTAGATTTTGAACGGTTGACTGCTACCCTTTAAATCTGTTCACCCAGATTTTCAGCCACTTTGTAATCTGCTCATCCAGCTGATATTTCCCCAGTTTGGTACAAGGATGCTCTAGGAGATGGCATCAGAAGCATTTTGTAAAGTCAAAGTAAATGACACTTTATTTGCAGAACCAGCCGTTTCCTTGCAGAAGGCAATCAGATTAGGTGGGCATAATTGGCTCCTGGTAAGTCTCTGTTGACTATTCCCAGCCACCTTCTTGTCCTTCATGTGCCTGCAAATAGTAGTGTTCCAGCATTATTTGCTGTGTAGTCACCCTGAGCGTCAAGGTGAAGCAGACTGGCTTGTAGTTCCTAAGATTCTCCTTCTGGCTCTTTCTTGTAGATACGGTATTTACCTCTTTCCAGTTGCCGGTGGCTTCCCTGGTCACAATGATGTGTAAAGATGCTGTAGAGAAGCATTACAAAGACATGGCTGAGATCCCTCAGCACCTGTTACATCTTTCCTGATGTCATTGACTAGCTTATTTCCAGGTCACTTAAGTAGTTCCTAGCCCAGTCTTCCTTTACCCCGTCTATCCCCCCATTTTGCTTTGTAGTATTTGGGAGGCTTGAGGGCAGACCTTGTCAGTAAAAGCCAAGGCTTAACAGGGTGCTGAGCACCTCAGTCATTTCCATTTCCTTTATTGCAGGGTTGCTTATCCCTGTCAGCAGTAGGCTAATGCTTTTTTTGGCTGTATTGGAATTGGACAACTGAATATCTGTTTGCATTAACACCTGTGGACTGTGTGAAGATTATACACACTTCTACAAAGCCATACTGAGAAGGAGAAATACAAGGGGGAGAATTAAGCACGAGGCACAGTACGAATAAGGCAGACAAGCAGGATGCCGTGTCTAAAGGGATTAAATCACAGTTCTGAGTTGCATGGATTTGTCAGGGAAAGAAACAGGCTAAAGAACCCGAAGGCAAACTGAAGTTGTTGAGACAGCAGAAACGATGTGTTTTTTGTCTGCTGACAAACATATTAATTGCTTTTGTAAGCTTTGCATTTTAATATAGCACATTTCTATTTTATTGAATTTGCTCGGCATTGAGAATGATATCAGCAAATCTGGCAAACTTCACATAATCTGTTCCACAGAAAGTAGTCTGTCTGTGCTAGTTCATTCTTGCAAGGGCCAAATAATGGTAACAAGGCCTCAGACCCTCAAGAGTTTGCAAGATGCTCATCTGCAACACTGAGTACCATTAATACAGTGTGAATAATGAGTGTGGGGGGTCTCTGGTTTAGTGTTGATAAAAAAAAGCAGATAGAGGACTTGAGATTGAGATTCCTTTGGAATTGGACAACTGGTCATCTACGTACATTAGAAACACCTGCAGACTGAAGATTATACTCACTTCTACAAAAAGAAAACAAAAAACTTTTCAGAGTTAAATGATTTCTTACTAAAATGCCACTTCCAGTTTGAGGAACTTCCTCTTTGTTAGTAAAAAGTAATTTTTATTAAATGTATTTTGAGCTATTGAAGACTTGTACTGGTGTTAAGTACTTGACGTGTAGAAACTATAAATGTATTCTCCTAAAGATGAATAAGTCTACTCTAATGAATTTTTGCATGTTTATTTTTCAGGAGCTGGTGAATCAGGGAAAAGTACAATTGTCAAACAAATGAAGTAAGTATGGTGAAATAGTATGATAGAGAAATAATCGTTTCTTTGAATAGATAACTTTTTTTTTCCTTCTGTAGGATTATCCATGAAGCTGGTTATTCAGAAGAGGAATGTAAGCAGTACAAAGCTGTTGTCTACAGTAACACCATTCAGTCCATTATTGCTATCATTAGAGCAATGGGGAGGCTGAAGATAGACTTTGGTGATCCAGCCAGGGCTGTGAGTATTGAAGTACATACGCAGATGCACAGCTAAAGTTTCTTCCCGCTTTCCATTTTTATCCATTATTATTTCCTGTAGAAGTGACTAGTATCTGTTCCTATGCAAAAAATCTCATTTCTAGCATATAATGTTTGATAGCACTAAATGGCACTTATCTTTATGCGGCAAAGTAACCGAGAACAAAACATGAACTGACTTACTTTTAGAGGGTTTTAAACAGGGGCAAGTAGTATTAAATACAGGACAAGTAAGGGTAAATTTTGTCTAAATTTGGAGTATTAGAAATCTGAATCTTGGAGACTTTTAAAAACACTGAACTATGCAATCATTTCTCTTTTATGGGCTTGTGGGCTCTTATATTCTGTAATTTAAGTAGAATGTCTTCACGTTCCTTAAAACCACAGCTTGAGTTGAGTAGGTAGGTCATTGCCAATGCTTCTCAATTAAGTCACAGGCACAGTGGTCCACACCTTAAAACACTTCCAGCCTCTGGGCCTAGTCCTGTTTTCATACTGATTTCTGATGTGGATGCCTATTTTTTGCTCAAAGCAGAGCAAGAATGGGCATAGCCATGCTGCAGATACCTTAATCCTTCTGCTGTCATTAAAAAAATCAGTTCATCTATTGTCCAGCCTATAAGTGCTGTCATTAAAAAAGTGGGTATTTTTCCCAAGAAATAGCCTAGCAAAAGCTCCTAAGAGAGCTCTTAAGTTCTTCTGCCCCTTTTGCATATCAGTTCATCTATTGTCCAGCCTATAATGGGTCTATTTGCTATCCTGCCTATTGAAGCTGATCTGAAGAATTGATTCTTTTTGCTTATCCTTTCTCCAGCCCTAACCCTACAGTCTTCTGTGTGGTGACTGTGCTTATGTGGTCAGGAGCATAGATGTTATGAATCTCTCTTCAACATTAGCTTAGTTTAGGTGTTTTTATTTGCCCTGTGGGTACAGGAATGTGCTCTGTGCTGCAGCACTGAAACTGATCACTGAAGTTACCACTCTGAAGTATTGAAATCTTAGCTGCCTTATTTCCTTTGTGTAGATACTAACATATGAATGTGGAATTTTCACCAGTGCAGTTTTTGAAGGAGGAACTAGCCATGTTATGGCTGTCTAGCAGGAAGGATGAAGATTTTTTGCAGTATTTCTTTCAATAAGTGAACATAAAGTAGTCAGCAGGATATTTTGTCATAATTTAATTACCCTTTCCATCGTATTAAGGATGAGTTACAGTTAGGGAGGATGAAGAGAGTAGTGGAAGTGATACGTAAATGCTTCTTTCCTTACAAAGTCTTGTGTTCAAGAACATTTGATTGCTTAGAAAGCAGTTTATAGATATCAGTTAGTATAATGTCAGTGACCATGTGCGATGAATTGTGTGTCATAAAGATGTTCATAAGAATACACAGAGTGGATGCTAAAAAAGGGTAAAAGTGTACCAAATCTAAATCTCCTAATTGGCAGTAATCTATTAGACAATTTTCCTTTTGCTGTTTGATAGTCATTGTTTTGTTTTATGTACGTATATGGAATATACCTGAAATATGCTTAATCGTATGCACAGCTAGTAAAAGCTTCATTTTTATTGGTTATTCCTTTCTACATCTATTTTCATGTTTGTGGTCTTGCCTCAAGACCAAAGTTTTCCAGGGGAGGAGCAGTGCCTTAGTGCATGTTAAGCCAGTATTTGTGCAATAGCCTTTCCTGGAATCTGGCCGTTAATGTTAGAAAGAGGCATATGGTAGACTCGTGTTACTGAATACATAGTGAAAGCAAATGGAGGGGAAATAATTTGAGAGTGAGCAGGTAAACGACTAACAGGATGGTTTTGAGGGCTATTTTATGTCTGATGTCAATTTAAACTCAGATGATGTTTTCATCCTAAGTATGTAACGGACGAGGTAAATGTTTGTTAGAGTGGGTCTTGAAATCAACTGTCCATCCTTTTACATTCAAGCAGACTTTGTTCCCCTGAGTTCTTTTCCGGAGCAACGTTGCTATGGCAGATCAGTACTAGATTTTTACCAATTATAAAATCAAATGAGGAAAAAACATCTAGAACTTGTGGTACACAAATCAGGAGTAAGGAAATCAGGAACAGAGTTTCATTCAGACTCTTTTCCTTAAATTTCTTCATGGTAATTTGTGAAGATTTCATTTGATATAGAGTGAGGATTTTCCAAACAAACTTTAGTCTTTTTCTGTCACAAAGACTCATGGTAAATCAGCGAGTTGAGCATGTTCTTCTGTAAAGGTATTCAATTGAATGACCACAAATTACTGACAAATTTACTCTAGTAATGGTCAGTCTGAAGCCTGACGTACACTACTTAGTCCTCCAGAAAATTTCAGTACTGAAGTAAAAAGCATATATTTTGAGAAATGTGGTGAATATGTTTTAAAGGACTGTCTACTTTCTAGAGGAGATCTGCTGCGATAAGTTTGAGACATGGCTAAATCGGTGTCTGTACAATGTCTCATTTATGAAATCTAATATTAAAACGATAAGCTCTAGAGAGGAACATGCCCTGTTCCAGCGTGATTAAAGGGATGTATTTAACACTGGTTAATGAGAATAAGATTTGATTGTTCTGTATTGCCTCATTTGTGGTATCCATAGTACTTTCCACCTTTATAAAGGGAAATCTGGGAGAAGAGTTTTTCCTTCAAGATCTGCTTCCAAAAGTTGTAGACCCCTGGCCTTTCCATACACAAACAGTATTCAAGACCAGAATTGTCTATCATTCGTGCTTCCATTTTGCAGGCATACATATTGTTCAGGCTCCAGTTAGTGGGATCTGGCTATCTTACTGCTTTATTGTGTAATAATGCAATCTGTTTGACTTTTAGTAATTACTTGTAATTTATTTGACCTATTGCGTATACACAGTAATCAGTATTCAGTTCACTTTTTCAGCAAGTGCTTCATTTCTCTTCTGGTAGCTACTCAAGCTTTCAAAAGACCTCTTGAACTATGTATCCTGTTACCTGTTGTTGCACATATGTATAAAGACATGTATGTACACACAGATGCGTATGAATTTCTTCAAGTCTCTTGAGTTCACTTAACTGTAAGCTTTTTGTTTTAAGCTGTGCACATCACTAATCTTCAATACAGTAGAGACCATCCTCAAACAATTTCCCTATTAGCTGTCATAAAATCTGACTATTAAGTTTCCAGTGAATAATCTCTTTATAACAAGCACTGCTTTCTGCACTTATCCTGAAGCTTTCCTCACAGTTTATTGTTTGAACAGCAAAAGTGATAGAACCTGGTTTCTGCCCCCTCCAAGATTTTCATCTATATACCTACACATAAGTTCTGTGAGAATAACCTTGCATGTTGTTTGTCTTCTTTCTTGAAATAGTTTCCGGTCCTAGCTTATGTGTCTACTCCCTTTTTTTTCTTCCTCATTTCCAGTATCATCCATTCCCTTTCTGCTAATTATTGGACAAAGAACAGTACATGCTGTGGGTGGTTATAAGCCACAAGTAGCTGATTTGCTGGCTGGCATGCATTGGTAGTAGGTCATATGCAGCTGATAACTAAGGTCAAGCTACTACCCTCATTACAGTACTAATGTTAGTATCTTCTCCTCTATCAGCTGTTATCTTTTTTTTAATACCTTACAAATCTAACATTTTCAAACCTTTCTTTCCACTGTCCAAATTAGATGAAATTAGCCAGCTGTTCAAATTGTATTAAGGAGGAGACAAGTGGATTGACATCCTGCACATTTGCATTAGCCTCACTTTCAAAGACAATCACATAGTCTTAAAATCCAGCAATTTGCTCTTTTTTTTACTGCCTCTTAAAAAAAAAAAGAAAACTAAAACAAAAAAACCCTTAAAAAAACCAAAAACCCTTGACATGGGTCATTACTGAGAAAACTTCTGTGGAGTAACTAAGGTAAAGGGTATCTGTAACCCTGCCTTATCCGGAAAAGTTCTGAGAAAAGGTGTAGTTCTCTTATACCTGATGAATGATTAGAGAAGAGATGATCTTGCAAGTTTAAGTGATTAGTGTGCATTATACAGTAATCAAAATACATCTGCATTTCTGAAGATTCTAGTACACAATGCAATCATGCTGTTTAGTTCTGAGCATAACAAGCAGAAAAGGTTAGCGTTAGACTTCAGCACAAAGTGTTACTTCTGTTTGTAGAAGCTCAGTTTGAGTGATAAACTGATTGAAGAATGTTTCTTTATCAGCTTATGAGAAATTTAGATGACACGCCTTTTTCTGTTGTTGAAAAATGTAGGGATTAACATCCTGTGCAGAACAGTAAGACCAGTCATTTTCCATCACAGTTCTTGCGTTGGTTACACTTAGGTATATTTGGTTAAGAAAAAGCTCATTTGTTGAATGTGGTTCTTAACTTTAGGTGATACACCATTGCAAGCATACTTCTGTTGTATTTCATGTTTATCTCCCTACTTTTTATTTACATCCTGAAGGATGATGCTCGTCAACTATTTGTGTTAGCTGGAGCAGCCGAAGAAGGATTTATGACTGCAGAGCTTGCTGGCGTTATCAAAAGACTGTGGAAAGACTGTGGAGTTCAAGCTTGTTTCAACAGATCTAGAGAATACCAGCTTAATGACTCTGCTGCCTAGTAAGTACTGCGTAACAAAGAAGATTCTCCCTCTCCTTTAGGTAGTGGCTAAAGGAACATAAGAGAAGCATCAGTTTAAACATAAGTTTAATCTCTTGGAGTTCTGTTCCCATGTAGATATAAAATGCAAAAGTAACTAGACAAAGATATTGTCTGCTTGGGTCAGAATGCTGCAGCTGCCTCTTGAGCTTGGAGAGGAAGAGGCATGGTATAATTCTGAATTTGAGTCATGTCCCGACGAGTAGTTTCGCTCTTTTGAGAAAGGCAAAAACTGCCTTTTTTCTCTAATGTTATGTAGCATTTATTTACAAAAACATAACTCAATTACTTTTTCAGTATCTGAAGCTGTTTAAGAAACCAGAGTACTTGATGTGAATATCAATTATATTGCTTTCATGTTCATAATCAAGCTACTCCTATGGTCCAGTGTTGCTGCACTTTCTTTGTAATCAGCATCCTCTGTTAGAAATGTATAGAGTAAAGGTAACAATTGGGATGGGTCTTTTATGCTAGGGTACTTCCCCCCCTTCCCCCCCCCCCCAAAAAAAAAAAATGTAAATATGGTTAGCAATCAAGAGTATAAGATGTGATGACAGCAAGTAAGTCGGTCAAGGGCAATAGTCTATGAAGGGAAAGATGAGGTAGCAGAGGAATGGTGTGGTGTTGACAGTATCCTTACAGGGCAGTTCTTTATGATTCTGAATTATTTGGTAGCGTTTGAAGTTTTATGCTTTCCTTAAAATTAGCTACTTCTGTTCTTGACTAATCATATATAAATGATCAACATGCAAGTGAAATAACTGCCAGATGACTACAACTGGAGTAAGGTAATCATAGGCATACTGAATGAGTAGAAATGTGGTAAAATTGTCGAAATAACACCATTTCCAGCATGGTTATTACTTGTTTACTGGACTTGTTCTAAAGGCACAACAAAGGGGTAGACGCAATAAGTTGAGCTCCAGATAAAAGATCTCTTAATTTAAATGAGAGAGAGAGAGTGTGCTCATATAGGTACGATTAATTATGGGATGCTTGGGAGATCACTTTGAGGACGCTTACCTTTCTCTGGTAATCTCCTCTGTTCTGTTTTGTTGTCCTGTTTTAGATACCTTTACCTCAAATTCCAGAAGAAAACTGTTCTTCTAAACATATGTGATTGTATCCTTAAAGATGTTAACTTCTAGTTACACTGAAAGAAAAGAACGTAATATCTTCCTTATTGACTATAAAAAAGCCAAAGTAAAATTTTGCGTCTATTTAAAAATGCTAGGTTTCTTGGCCTGCGTCACAAAAGCTTTGGAAATGAAAGTTTACATTTCAAAAAAAAAAAGTAAGCAATTAGAAATTCTCAGTAGTTACTAGTCATGTATTAAGCATTGTTCTAAAGTCTGTATTAGTTTTTCCAAAAACACTGGATTGTTCTTTTCACGCTTATTTTCAAATTCAATTCCGGGGGAATTTTGGCTTTCAAAAAAGGAGGCTGGGGATCAATGGAAGGATACAAAGATAAAAACATTCTTTTAGTTGATGTAAATGACATGAATAAACATAGAACCATACTTCCATTTTGTGAATTTTGAAAGAAGAATTTTGTAGTGCAGTCAATTGAGACAGATATTTTATCCTAGAAAAGAGAGATTTAAGCAAACTGTTTTTTTCAATAGAGAGGCAAATAATTTTGTAATATGCATGTCTTGCCTTTTTTGTGTTAGAGAAAATCAGCTTTTGTAAAAGCAAGCGCAATGTAATGAATGGGCCTAGGATTTCTCTAAATTTGCATTTATCTGATTTCTGTTTTATTCTGTGAATAACTGAAAGCAGTATGTATTTTTGCCCTCAGTTACTTGAATGACTTGGACAGGATAGCACAAACCAGCTACATTCCAACTCAACAGGATGTTCTCAGGACTAGAGTGAAAACCACAGGAATAGTGGAAACTCACTTTACTTTCAAAGATCTTCATTTTAAGTATGTAAATCATGCTGCATGTCTGTTATGGCTTCTATAAAATTCTAGAAGATGGACTGTTAATTATGCAATTTATCACATTTGCCAACTATAACTTTGACTAGCTTTTTTCTGAACTATTCCTTCATATTTGGCTTCAGATTTCTTCATTTTTGAGGGGATGTGGGGGTCATGGAAACTATTGTAATAACTCAGTACATTTAAATATTCAGATAAATGCTTTCCTTTGGAAGCTTTTTGCACATGTTCTATGTAAATTATGTCACAAAATATTCTATTTATGTCATTAAATATTATTATTCCATAAAATTCTTCCCTTTGAATTCAAGTGTTTGCTGTTCTTATATGAAACCAGTAAATCCGTCTTTGCGGAAAACTAAATTCAAATCTGTATTGAACTAAATTCAAATCTGTATTGTATTTTTAAGGTAGTACTTCGAGATGATGACAGAATGACTTGTCTTTCCTGTGATAGGATTTACAAAATAAGGTTGCTATTCTAATAGTTTGTTGTACAATAGATGTTGATGATAGCACAGGATGGTATAAATGTAATACTATCTCTTCCTGATTGAAAAGACTGAGAAGAAAACGCAGTAAAACTCGGAACATTGCAGTTTCATTTAGCTTGGGCAGTGGTTGTTGTAAGCCTGTCTGTACAATATATTTGTTTAGCAGCTTCATGGGAAATAATTATTTTCATGTAGATGCATGGTGAGTACTATAATTTTGACGCTGCAGGACTATCAGCACTATGGAAATGGTATGTTTTGGTATGGTAATAGACTATGTTTTGTTTCCATGCTTTAGGGGGTTTTAAGTGTACAGGATTTTTATTCATCCATAAAATATTAGCAGGTAAAGTAGACGGAAAAGAATGGTCCCACTTTAGTCTCTTGTATATCTACAAGATCTTAGCCAAACCTTAAGAAAATGTTTTCAATTAGACTGCAAGATAGCTTTAAATAAGATTGAAATTAATTCCTGACTTCTATAATGAAGGCTGTTTCGATTATGGGGGATTAATCCTTAGTTATAGCTTCTACCAAAATCCCTTAAGTATTCTGAGTAACTATCCATTCTCTCACCTCTCTTCTGATGTTTCTTGTCCAGTTGGCTTTTGTAGATGGATTCTTTTATACTCTCAATTAATTTGTATCCAGTTAGCTACTTCCAGCCTATCCTGATTATTTAAAAGCGTCTATAGGGAGATTACAGACCGCAGGATTACGTTTCTTTAAAAGGTATGTCCTTAAGACAGGTCTCTGGAAATGTTAAGCTGTAATGTTTAAAACAGATTTGTATGGCAGGTGGAGAAGTTTTGTCTTAGGTAGGCTTAAGGAGTTATTGGCAGGCCGTTTACAGGTATACGCTTAACTTCATCCAAAGAATTCTGTTCAATATTAACTAAAGGCGTAAAAGGCTTGATTATTTCAAGATGAGTATACGTAAATAATATGACTAGCTCTGCAATGTTCTGTGGCTTGTTTATCTTCTTTCCTATTTTGCTATGTTTATTTTTAGATTAAGAGCTCTCTGAGACTGGGCAACATTTCTGCCTCCTTTGTAAAGGGCTTAGTGTATTTTTGATTACTGCATCAATTTAAAATGGGCAAGTAGCAAGTCATTTTCATACTGTTTCTATAAACTATTTCAGAAGTTGAGTCTTTTTGAATATTTTAGTTCTGTTTTCAAAGAATGCCTCATTTTATAGAAAGTTTTTCTCATAATTTAACAAATTCCATTGTGAGATTTAGGTTTTGGTACTAAATTCCAAAATGCTAAGGAATAAGTATTTTTCACTGTTTAAAGATTTTTTTTCTGTTGGAATTAAAATGTTTTTAAGTATGCATTGTTCCACTACAGAACACTCTAATGGGCAATAAGAATGAGCATTGCTTGGATATACTATCACACAAGTAGCCGAAGACCTCATTCACAATGTTTTTGACAGCTTTTGAAGTTTTTGTTTAAATTGTTTTCTTCTCTACTTACTTTACTATTTTTTTTAAATCCAACTCTAGCAACTTGGAACACTTTAACAGTCCTAAAAATAACTTTAATTGAATCTCTCCCAATGCAACTTATCCAGTCATGTAGTACAGAGCTTCCTACATCAATAGGTTTGTGTTTTGTTTTTAACATGAGGTTGTATAAATAGCAAATAATTCCTAGTATGTAAGCTCCATTATCAAACTAATGTCATGTAGATTGTGGGGTGGTAGTAGGAGTAGCTAGTAGTAAAAGATGTTTCTCTTGAGATCCTCTCTACCTTTTTTTTGTTTACAGCCCAGGGAAAACAGGAAAGGGAGATAATCAAAGATACGTGTCAGTTTTAAAAAGTGTGCAAGACTGAATTTCTGAAACTTCCCAGATATGTGTCTATTTTTTTTAACCACCCACTCTACCTCAGAAATATTGTCAAATATTGTCCTTTACAAGGTTGGGGTAAACAAACAACCTGCAAAATCTTAAAGAAGCAGAAGCAACCATAGCAAATACCTGATGTCCTGTTGGCCTGTATCACATTCTGTGTGGATTCTGGAATGATGTTCTTAACTTAAATAGTCTGAAAAAGGCAGAACATGGCAAATCTGGCAGCACTGGCTTGCAAAATCAGAATGTGCTAATGAAATACCTTACACCAGTCCCTAAATGTGTACTCTTCCAGATAATCCACTCAAAGCCACCTGTCTAATATAAAAATAGCTAAGTAACATGCTTACTTTTCTAGTCATCATGCTTTCCTGGTATCTTTAATGGTTTACATTTACTTTGATTTCAGTGAAATAGTTTGTCTTAATGTGGCATAGTCACTTTGTAGTCTCACTTAAAAAGGTTTATTTAAGTAAATGAAACAGGAAAAATCATAAATTGTTTCTTTCATATTTTAAATCTTTAGGTAAGGAAGGGTGGATTCAGCTTTTATGAACACCTACTCTTTCAGCACTCCCTTGTATTGCTTAGTTCACAGTAGATTTAATAACACTGACTTGTCTTATACAAGCAAAATCACGATTCTTTTGAGCAGCCAAACCTATGCATGGCTTATACTATGAATTTTGCCACCTGAGGCAAGTGCCTAAAACAAGGGCTTGCCCTTAACCTTCCCGTATTTGGGGGAGGGGGGGAGGAAATCTGTAAAGTATCCAAACCTCTCATTCTTTCAAAACTTCCTAAAATTTATCTGTAGATTTAACAGCTTCTATGAATGTTTCAGCCTGCTGGGACTGTGACCTAACAAGCCTCAATATGGCTTCTGTAGGGCAGATTCAAAGCCTATGAACTTATTAAACCTCTTTGTTCAGCATGGCTAGTTATTCTGAAAGATACTTTCAGCCTCGTCTTTTCTGAAGAATTTTGTGCGCCAAATAGTTTTTCAGTATGCTTATCTTTCTCTGAACTATGTAGATGAAGTTTCATTGCGTAAAACAATCCGTCTTGTTTCTGTTGAGATGTTCACTGTGAAACTCTGGTGCCAAAAACTTCACCCAGCACTGTATTTTATCACAAACAATTTCAAAGATGAGCGCAGAACATAGTTTGCGTAAAGAACTGGGAGTTTGTTACATGCAGTGTTAGCCAAAAAAGACAGTGGCATTGGTGAAATATACCACTGGCGGAGAGGCTATTCTGAACTGAAGCAAAGACTTCTGACTAAAATCAGCATCTGTATATATAACTAGAAGTGATACTACTTTTCTGTTCTAAGTTTCCAGTCTTCTGCCTTTTCCCTCTCTTTCCAGAATACATGCTGTCAGCGTACTCTAAACAAACCACAGTTGTGGTTGGTACAAGGACCTTCTGATACCATAAGAGCGCTGAGAGGATCAGGATATGATGCTGCTTGTATAGTTCTGTTTTCTTTCTACAGATTTTTTACTATTCTTTGAAAGAAAATTTTTTGTTGCACTCCTTTATCCCTATGGAAAGCTGTGCCATATCTTCTTACACCTGCTGTTTACTGTTCAGTAACAATGATTTTGTATTGGGCAGTATCGTAAAACGTCCTTGAATGAGTTAATGTCAATCTGCATGGATTTCACAATACTGCCATCAGTATAAAGCTTTAAGCTCTCATGGTTCTTAAAAGCTGGTGTCCGCAAAAAGGATACAGGTAGTGATTTTCTTGGTTGATTTGTCAGTCAGTTTCCCTGTCATGCATTATATTCTACAAAGAAACAGATTTGTTGTTGTTCAGCCCTGCGTGTCCTGTTGTCTACCAAAAGACGTTAATGTGGTATCCTCAGTACTAATACAACCCTGAATGATTTCAGGCCAAGCTGGAAGATCTTTACAAGAATTACAACTGAAAGAAAAACATAAGTTGTTATGCATCTTAATTGCTGTTCCAATCTGGAGACCCCTTCTTGCTTATCTGGGACATTTTTACCCAATTAAGGGTTTAATTATAGAAGCTGGCCTTTCTACTGCTTACAGCAAACTGGATGGAGATGTAGGAACTGGTCTGTCCGTGGTTCTTCCTCTGTCTTCCCCCTGCCATTTGAACGTTTTTATGCCTACTGAATTCTAAGTTCTTCTTGTTGGCAACATGGAAAAAAGTTAACATTGATCTTGAAAACCCATGAAGACAAAACTCAGGCCTCTTTAAAAGGAGAAGTTGCATTTCCTTGTAACCACGAGGAAAATTTCAATTTTTGCGTGGTAGAATATGAAAGAAAAATAATAGGGGACGTTGCATGGTGGCCTTGTTGCATTGTCTTGAAGCTATAAATGACCACCGGAATTTGAGACAACAGACTTCTGTCCCTGTGATAGGGAAGAGACAGCTGGGAAAAGTCTTTGTTCTGTCTGGCTGATAAGATTTGACTATGTATATCTCTTAATTTCAGGATGGTAATGTTTGTCTACTTCTGTTACTTCATGGCTCGCAGTTCATTATATGCAAGACGCTATCTATCTGGCTTGCAGAAAACTTCATAACGGTGTCTAATGAAAGTTAGTCTTTCAGAGTTGCTCTAGCCCAGAGTAGTTACGAAATAGCTATTAACAAATTCAGCAGAGAAAAAAAAAATCTGTTCATACGTGGTTAATTTGTTGATTCTCTGCTGTTAAGTTCTAAAATGCAGTCTTTTTCGATTCTTCTCTGTCTACTAAGCTAAGAATTCAAAAGAACCAAGCGATGCTCACCTTTATAGATCATTGTTCCCACCAATTGTTTCTTCCCAAAATGTTTATGTTTGTTTTTTCTTTTAAGATAACTTTGAAAAGAATTTTTTTTTTAGTCTCTCTCAAACATGATTAACTGAAAAGTAGATGAAACTGCACTTTGTTTTAGTAGAGGTGTGAGCTGAAACTCACCAGCGTTTAGATTGCAGGTTAAATATGAAAAACTGAAAATCAAATTTTTTTATATTAAGTTCAGAATAGTAAGATGACAATATTAGTCAGTATTACATTTTTCTGATGTCTTTAGTATAAGCATTTTTCCAGGTACTAAACCAGAGACAATGCTGCTCTTGAATTTAGAGTCTTACATTGTTGATCAATACCTTTTATTTTAGATGTTTTATTAATTTAGGCAAAAATGTTTAAAACAAAAAAAACCTTTAATTTGGTTTGTTTAACACTAATCCTATGAGGCTTTGTTTCTTGTAGATTGTGATAAACTTCTTGAAGTATAGTACAAATTACTGGAAAGCAGATTGATTTTTAGCTTTCATCTCACTTTTTCTTTTGTAAAATGTTGCATAGGAAGATTTTTAAGGTTTTATTAAAACTGTTTTTCATACGGAGGCATTTCAGATTGTAATGTTGCAAATTTTTTCCCCCTTTTCTTCAAAAATTGATTAGACTTGCACAACTATTAGCTTTAGACTTTATTGGTTACGATTCAGAAAGCTAGAAGTTCCAAAGTTCATTCCATACTTTGTTCTTTGCAGAATGTTTGATGTCGGAGGACAAAGATCAGAGCGGAAGAAGTGGATTCACTGTTTTGAGGGTGTTACAGCAATTATTTTTTGTGTGGCATTAAGTGATTATGACTTGGTCTTGGCTGAAGATGAGGAAATGGCAAGTACCTTAATCTTGAAGAAAGAAATGATAGTGGGATAGAAACTAAATGAGTTTGAAAGGAAAGCTAAATACCTTTTTGAGAGAGTATTGTTCTCTTAAAAGTCTAGTGGTTTTTTTTAGTTTACCAGGCCTCAGAGAAGTGGTGATAGAGGTCATGGTTTTGAGTATCAAAAATATTTCCTGATGTTCTCAGCAGGAGTAGTTTGACTCCTTCACTCCTTTCTCATCGTTTGAGATGTAACTTGTCCCATAACAGTGGGCACAAACTAGCAGCTTTTTATCTGAATTTTCTAGTGAGGCTTATTTATTGTGTGTAAATCGTTAAGAGTTCTGTGATCTTCTGCATGTTCTGCATCTTTCCATAAAATGCAGCTGAGGGGGGAGGGGCAGCGGGGAAATGGATAGTTTCAAGTCAGATTTAGTCACTACCTAAATGGATGGAAACCTGGCCAATGTACTCAGATGTTGGATATATTTTCTAAAGAACTTTTTTAAAAAAAAAAAAAAAAGAAAAAACTAGTCACTTGATTCTCTAGGTCTGTAGCAGTATTTTTTTGTTGTTATGCTGGAATCTAGAATAGATGCCAAATTTAATCTTCAACTTTCAGAAGAAGTAATCAGTATAATATAAATTTGAGGTAACACAGTAACTCTGCTAGAATATCATTATCATTGCAATGGCATAATGCCAAAACAGCAAAAATTCCTAAAATATTAAACATCGGCTTAAGCCTAGAAATAAGAGCAAAAATAAATGAGCAGTTGCTCAAAGACTGCTCGTGATAATGATACTTTAAGGCAGTGCATTGTAGTAATCTTGGTCTCTCTATATTTCCTTGTGATAAAATTTGATTCCAGATGCTAGGCACTTAGTTTTGATATGGAATTTACAGGAAAAGCAGATAACTTAAAAACCATGTATTCTGATTTTACTACTGAAATCTGATAAAATACAACAAGGTGATTTTTTTCCCCAATTACAGAATCGGATGCACGAGAGCATGAAATTGTTTGACAGTATCTGCAACAATAAATGGTTCACAGACACTTCTATTATTCTCTTCCTAAACAAGAAAGATCTCTTTGAAGAAAAAATCAAAAGGAGTCCTCTCACTATTTGCTACCCTGAATATGCAGGTATGGGGGGAGGGGGGGGGGAAAGGTCAAGTAGCTTTCAGCTAAATCTTTTTTGATGCACAAATCAGGAGGAATGTGAGCTGTGTGTCAAGTTAGGAGAAAGCATTTCTTAGCTTTTTAACTGAGAGCTGTTATGGAAGTAGAAGTACATAAAGCATAAAAACATGATAGTTCTAACTAGTTATGTAGTAATACAGGTTGAATTCTGCCCTTGCTCAAATAAGGTAGTTTGAAACTAGAGAAAAATACGATGAAGACTTAGGATTATGACTTCCTACTGTAGGCTACAAATGCTTATGCTGAAAGGTATATACATCTAACAGGCATTAATAGCATGGAAAGCAATGACTAATTCTAAAACTGTTCCACAAATACAGTGAAGTTAAAGGGAAAAAAATAGCCTCAAGAAGAAGGCCAAATTTTCCAAAGCACAGCCTCTCCAAAGATTTTTCTGACAGATGTTTGCAAACTGTTACTGTGAAAGTGTAGGTAGGAGAACTTAATATGAAGTATCTAAAATACTTGAAGCAAAGTTAAAGATTTTTTTTAATGAATCACAAATAAAATAGTGCTAAAGTAAAAATCATCTTTTTAAACAGATGGAGTAATGCTGGTCCTTGGATAGCATTTGCATGTTACTGCAATTATTCTTTTCAGTTTAGTCTGCTTAATCTGCTTCAGCTCATTCTTTATTCTAGTCTTCATAATTTGTTGTACCTAAATGTAAGTTAAATTTTTTCCCCTTACTAATAGCAGTCGCTGATGGTACGCAAGAGTTTATTTGAGGGGGAGTGTACAAACATGTTAGAAGCAGCTTGCTTTTTCAGTAAATACATATGGGAGGAAGTTGATTTTTATTTAGCAAGGCTTAGCCTTTTTATGTGTGATTTTCATTACAACTTTAGATTGTTCTATTCTACAGGAGGTAATAAGTTGGAAATAAAAAGCTTGGAAGAAATATATATGCCAAAAATATTGCAAAGTATTGAGGGACAGGGAGGGAGCAGTAGCACCAAAACCTGTTAAAATGGAAAAAGTGAATAACTTCAGTGAAGGGACCAAGATATCCTGGCGTGGGGAAGAGTGATGGTTTATTAGTGATTTGTTCCACCTGCCATGGAAGTAAACGGAAAGACTCTTGTTACTGCAGTTGAATGGACTCCTTAATTTTTAATATTAAAGAATGTATCCAGAATGTTTCCTTCAACAAGAATTACTTCTGGTATCTTACAACGATGTCTGTGAAATTACTTAAATCAACATTCTGCTCTTTAGATTTAGGTTAGCTATTGCAGAAGGATCACTTCCTTCAGAGAGATAATATGCATCTTGTTCTTTCTCAATTTAAAATCTGCTTATTGAGCAATTTTTTCCTTATAGGATCAAACACTTACGAAGAAGCAGCTGCTTACATTCAATGCCAATTTGAAGATCTGAACAAGAGGAAAGACACAAAGGAAATCTACACTCATTTCACATGTGCCACAGATACAAAGAATGTGCAATTTGTTTTTGATGCTGTAACTGATGTCATTATAAAAAATAACCTTAAAGACTGTGGCCTCTTCTAAGAACAAACAGAATTTTGTTAAATGGTGAACTAATGTCTAAAAACCAGGGCTTTGGCATTTGGAATTTGTCTATGTGTAGTGTAAAACTTGCATAGATATACTTAATTCTCTTTATTTTATTTTTAGGTTTGAAGAATACCTTCACACAGTTCTAATCTGATTGGTTTCAAGATGAAAGAAATACAAAATGTGTTGTGTTGGATGATAGACCAGTACTGTACTTGTTTTAACAGCTTTATTTATGTTTGTCTTGTAAATTTGAGTAATCGGTAACTCTGAGATGTCTTTTGACTGTATGTATTCTTATAATTGTAGTAATGTATTTGTATAAACGTTGAACAGAATATTTTAGTAACTTGATGTCCTCTAAAATTTCCATGTTTTATTAAGATGCTCTTCGAGGGGACAGACACTTTTTGTCTTTGGATTATTTAAACATCTTGTAAAATTAAATTTTCTTTTCATTGTAAGGGTGCATGCTGCCTTATTCTTTACTTTTGTTGGTAATATTGTATATGGTGTTAGCTTTTTTGATATTTGAACAGCTCCCTACACCTGCTCCGAATCAAAGAAACATAATCAATAAAACTTGTTTTTTTGCCTTAAGTTTTGAAAAAACTCTTTTTATAAATTTAAGATAAATACAAAGATTACTTTTAAAATGCAGTTAAAATATGCAGCTTGTGAAACCTGGGCTTGCAATCTTTGCAGTGCAAATGTGGCAACACTGAAAAATAGAATTTAAGGTTCACTGATCGTCGAGGTTAACGGAAATACAAAAGTTGTTAAAACACACCCATACTTATACAGTAATAATAAAGTCTGAAAGTGTTCTTTACTCACTGCAGTGAATTGAAGTTACCTTTGCTTTTTTTACGGACCCTTAATGAAGGCTGGACTTCAGAGCAAAATGAGGTTTTTCTGTTTGCTTGAGAAGTAAAATCAGGTTCTCCTTAAACTCTTTGCTATTTTCTGGTAATAAAACTAGTTTGATAGTTTAATAATAGAAATATTAGGAATTCCCACAAGACATGGCACAGTAGTCTCACCAAAAAAGTAATTTCCTGTTGCTTGTTTTTAAAAAAAAAAAAAAAAAATCAGTATTTTTTTGGATAGGGTGTCTCAGTGACTTGCAGATGTTGATTCTTAACCACTCTAAATGATATCTAAGTTCAAATTTTCTTTAAATAATAAGGTAAATACTATTTTTTCTAGTTATGCTTTCTTGATGTGATTTGCTATGTATTAGGATCATATCATGCATTGCCTTACACGGTTAGTGCCAGAACTGATTTTTATACCTATTTAAAAAAAAAAAAAAGCTTCTATTTGTAAATAAGGTCGTGGATGGTTGTCTTCAGTGTATTTTGTCATCTAGAATATTTGAATGTACCAAATCTTGAAATATGGTTTTCTATAATTGTTAGACTGTATTAGGCAGCTACTGTACACCCTAGGTTGTTTGAGAAGGAAGTCTTTGAATCTGCTGATATTTTTGCATATTATCTTAGCATATATGTTCTTAGAAACATTCAGCCAAAACATCTCAATCATTGTTCTGTTACTTAATTTTTAATTGTGTATATGTTTCATTTAGGCTTCAGCTGGAGTAGATCTTATCTTCACTCTTCTTTCTTTGATGCTTTCATTGTTGGATATAGAATTGCTAAAAGCTTTTCAAATGAAAGATTAGAAAGGAACTATAAACATATTACTAGAGGTTGTTGAGTATATTCAGACACTGAGTTTTTAGCAGTTGCGATAAACAATCTCTATATCCTGGGCTGCTTTTAGTTGTGCTTTTACAGTTCTGGATGTGTAACTGATTTTTAATTCATGGAAATACTTTGTGGCGACTGTATTTTCATCCACATTTGAGTTGTTTTTTTGTACTTAATGTAAAACTTAATGTACAAAAATTGGAATTAATCAAATTACTACAAGTTAATAAATCTCAACTTTGTGCCTTGCTTGAAAGAAATGTTTTTCATTAAACTTGCTGATGGAAATCTTTCTGCATCCACCCTGTGGAGATAACTAGGTAGTAAAAAAGAGAAGATACAAAGTCGAGAGTGAATTCACAAGCTTTATGCAAGAAAGAGTAAGATAAAAAACGAGCATACATAGATCATTACTGATTGATTCCTAATTTTTTTCCTTTACCACTATTTCTAACATAAACTTGAGATTTTTTGGAATTTTATAGCTGGTGTCTTCTGAATTACATACATCTTATTTACTACAGACAATACTGTGAGACTTTTGCTTGCAAGTGCAGGAGGATGACCATGTCTTTTCTGGCTTGGTGAGTTGACAGCTGACATGTTTCTTAATAGATACTCTGTACTAGTTCTTTCTTTAGGCTTATGAAATGGCCTATATGGTTGTTCCCATTCAAATATTAAAGGCTAGATGTATCACTGATGTCTGTTCTAAGCTCCTCTCAAAGTTGTTGATGGAAAATTTGTTTATAAGTCATGCTTGAAGTAGTCTTCCAGAACTGATGTACATCTTGAAAGTCTTGCCATGATCAAGAAGTTCATCTCTTGCTTATGTGTTGTCATAACTATCCTTATTGAAAGCAAGTACTCTCTCTGTTCTGAATGTATCTTGCTTCAGCTTTCAGCCCAGTGGATCTTACAGATTTCCTTACCAAAGACGACAATCTTATCGATAGACATCCTCTCGCCCTTTACAGTATACCTACTGTAATAGTTCCAGTACGAGTATTTGCACACTTATTTTTTGACTTATGATCTTGCCTGAGCTTACTGGACTTTGATTATGAAAAAGATATATAATTAATACATGCTGCTTGGGACTCTGATCTTAGTTGCCTTGGGCCAAATTGAGAATCTTGGAAAACAAGGTTGATCATTCTTTGTCCTGAGATGAAGGCTGTTGTTATGCTAAGCCTGTGCTCCAGGAAAAGCTACAAGACTAAACTATGTGCAGTGGTGAGAGATACAAGCTTAATTTTCATGGCAGCTCCAGTCCATCTCTGTTTTGTCAGAAGGCTTCTTCTCAGTCTGAGAAGTTTCTTTTTTTTAAAAAAAAAAAGAAGAGGAAATGCTATTGCTCTTCCACTGCCTGAGAAGATCTGTTTTGTGCTTCAGCAGTCCTGCTCCGGGACAATCTTAACTGAGCCTCCTGTTCCTTCTCTCCAATGTGTAGGGGATTATAGCCTTGTGGAGGTTTCACCAACTCGCTGTGGTCCTGTGAGCGCGTTGTCTTTGGTTGGAGCCTCTCAGTAGAAGAAAGGCATGATTACATAGTATTTTTAGGAGGCTCAACTGTGAGGAAGTGTGGCTTGGAGAACTTGATGTGTGGCTTTACCTACTGAATTTGGGAGAAATTTGAGGTTAAATGTGTTAACTTAGTAACCATAACTGTTTAGGATCATAGCACAGGAATGGAATAGCATTTGCTGGATTGCAGGTCCTGTTCCCATATAGGCAATTGGCACCTTCAAGATTTAAATTCTACTTAAAACCTTTGGGGATGGGGGGACGATACCAATCTGTAGCATGCTGAACAGCCTGGTGGCAAGTATGCATTTGGAAGTGGAGAAACTGAGATAAATTTCTCTTACAAATAAGTAAAGTAAGCAACCTGACTGAGATACTGTCTATTCTACTATATGGATGTCTCTTGAAGTTATTCAACTTCGTGTTAATAACTGAATAGTCTGTGGCTCAGAGTAACACTGACTGTAAACTTCAAGTCCTTGACTATTTCATTCTGAAAATGTAGCAGGTGCAACAAGAGATTGATAGCAGCTCATTCCTGAATAGTTCATAGCCTGTAAAATAGTGCATTCACCAGGTAGATGAGATCGGGAAATGAAGAACTTGAGATTGGAGGGGCACATACTGAATGCCTTAATTATAAGTCATTAGCTCTATGAGGTGGAGCCTGTACTTTTTGCAAAAGCTGTGTTGGTTTTGTGGACTCTGAAGTTTAGGAATGTTAAATTTCAGTTGCATGCATGGAAGTAAGTTTCCTATTCTGTGCCTCCAGAATACCTCCTAAAAAGCTGTCTTGATGAAAGAGGAAGCTGGGAACAGAATTTTAATTAGATGTGTACCTGAGTCAGGCAGATACCCTGTTTTTGAAAATGACTGAGCCAAAGTGCATCTATCAAGCTTTTGCCTGTATTTAGAAGCGGTGCTCTTCAAAGTTGGGCATGGTTCCATGTAAGGCCTTTCTGGTTGGTCAGTTCTGCATGTGGTGGTGATAGTGGGGAAGTTTTATGAGTATTTTGGACACAATAGAGACCAGGGCTATTGAGCAGTTTTATTTTGGTAATACTCTGCTTGGACTCAGGCATGAGATCACTTTTAGTGTGTAGTCAGCCAGTTGAGGTCCATATGTTGAAATGAATGATATACCAGTTTTTGTTGTATTCCGTTCTGGAGGTAAGGAAAACAAAAAAGCGTGAGTGTTGCATGTGTGTTTTCCCCAACATGGGTTGTGCTAATGTGTAAATACTTAAGGAATGGGTGCCTTGAATCCTACTGAATATGCTGATCTTTAGCTCTCCTTGCACTTCAAGAAAGTTCAGAATCTTTGTCATTAATACATGAATATGGAGACTGATGAGAGAATAAACATATGTACTCAAAACTGCTCATACATATTTATTGCAAAGCATGAACAAAAGTCGAGGAAACAGGTAACCTGAACAGGTTAATTTTTTTAACGTAGACACATGTTTACTGAGTTCTTACATAGTTTCCAGAATGACGTGCAGTCTGGAAAAGGGAAGTCCTTACACTATGGCACACAGCATATCTTGGATACCCATTACAAATAAACATCTTCATTTCTACAGAATCAGAATGTACTTTGAGTCTTTAAAAGTACAAATGGTCGAGTGGGACACTTCAAACAATTGATACCAGAATTGGTTTGGCTGCTTGCCAAAAAAGTAACAGTTACTCAATCAAATGAAGAAACCATCTGTTTTGCGCACACATTCAAAGGTGATAACGGTTTCTTTCAGAAATCATAGTGTGCTACTCTGGGGTAGGGGGAAGATGATGTATAGTTAAAAATTCTGACAGTTTCTGTGTTTGAACATAGCAATTCTTCAGCTATGTTATAAATTAAGAAAACAAAAATTATTCCAAAAGCCACACAACTAAGTCATGCTGAGAATTGTGCTTCATAGTTTCGATAAAAGCTACTACTTTTCCTGTATGCCAGGATTTTTTTGTAGATTACAACAAAAATACAGCTATTCAAGTAACTTCAGATTTTATTTTATCGCTCTTTAGTTTTATATTCTAAACTATAATCAGACAAAGCATATCCAAATTTAAATTTAATGACTTTATTGTGGCAAACATACATGAACATAAAGATGTGATTACTTGCCCTGTATTTAGTATTTTAAGATTTTTGCAAATCAAAAAAGGATAGTTCATCAGGTCAAAATTCTAATGATATTCTACCACTTTTAATCTTTAAAAATGTGTTTTTAATCCTTCATATTTCTAGAAATGCTATTGCAAAGGAAGTTAGTATGTTAGACACCGTACATGGAAATTTGAGCACTTTTGGTCAAATTCTGCTTATACCATCTGCCAATATCTTTCATACCCAAGCTATGTTGTGTTGGCTTAGGTGTCTTTAGTTTGCCTTGTTCCTCTGCTTATAACTTAAATCTTTAAAATTCATTGTTTGGCTTCCTGACTCAATTTGAGGGACCAGAATTTGTTGTAGACTTTCAAAGATGATCAAAAGGATAAGATCTCAAGGCTGTTAAATGAGTTCTGTAGTGATTTAAATGTTAAACTACAGCAATAGGGACAAGCAATTTCATTTTTTTTCAAAGTAAATCTGTGAAAGAAGCTTAATGGAGAAGTCGAAGTGTGCTATTTGAGCCTTCCTGAGATTAATGCTGAAATACTATGCTTACATAGGCTATAACGGAGGCACAATGAAGCAATTGTATTTTCCATGGAATTGCAGCTAATCCTAATTGGGCTAATGTTTTAATCCAATACACTGGCAGTTGGCCTCTTTGAGGAAAGACATATTAAAATAATATCAGTGAGAAGTGACCCTGAACAT